GATGAAAAAGAAAATAAAAAGAAGAAAGTAAAGATGCGAAAAAGACAAACAAAAATTAGAAAAAAAAAAGTTTGGATAGGACAAAAATGACCAAGAAAAAGTAAAAAACAGAAGATAAAAACGGCTAATAAAACCAGAAGAAGAATAGTAGAAGATGTTGAAGAATAAGAATTTAGAGAATACAAAGACAATAAAATAAAACTAAGAAGAAGTAGTAGACAAATAAAACAAAAAAAATCAACAGAAAAAACGAAGAAAAAACCGAATGAAAAAAAATCAAGAAGTCAAAGAAGATGAATACAATACATAATAAGAAATAGTCAAAAACAATGAAAGATAAGAAGGAAAAAACAAAGAATAGAAAAGCTAAAAAATAAAGAAAAAGGAGAAGAATAAGAAAACAACGATAATATGAACAAAAAATAATACAGTGAACAAATAAGATAAAAAAAATAGTCGGATAAGTCGAAGACGATGAACAAAAAAAATTAAATGATAGAAGAAAAAAGATAATCAGAAAAAGAAGTCATAAAAGAAAACCAGTAGATAGTAGAGGAAGTGAAAGAAAAATATAATAAAATGGAAGAAAACTAGAAGATGAAGAAGACAAAGTAGAAAAAGGTAAATATGATGAAAAAAGGAAGACAAATCAGATGAATAAGAAGTAAAAAAAATATGAAGATAATAAAGAAGAACAATTTGAAAAGGAATAACGATAAAAAAGAACTCAAAAATATAAGGAAAAAACTAAAAAAGAGAAAATAAAAACCATGAGAGGAATAAAAAGATAGATAAGACAAAGATCTTTAAAATATGATGAAGAATTTGGAGAGAGGAAAAATAATTGGAAGAAGAGGAATAAGAATCTGTTGAAGGAGAAAAATAAAATAAAATAGAAGACAAAGTAGAAGAAGAAGAAGATAGGGAAGAGAAAAAATTGGATGAAAACCTTAAAAGTTGAGGAATTAGAGAAAGTAGAAGAATATGAAGATGAGGTAAAAGCCGAAAAATACCAGAAGAATAGGAAGTTGGTGATAACGAAGAAGACGATGGTAATGAAAAAGGAAAAAAAAAGAAAGAGAATAATAAAACATTGAAGAAGAAGAAGAAAGAGAATAAAACCTGGAAGAGAAGAAAATCAAAAGATGTATGAGAGGAAAAAGGAAAAGATGTGAATAAGAAGAAGAAAACGTGAAAAAGAAAAACCAGCAGAATAAAAAGTAAAAAAAGACATAGAAAATAAAGAAGAAAAAAAAAGACAAAAAAAGAAAGAAAAAATAAAATGATAAAAATAAAAAATTAAAAGATAAAAAGAGAAAAAGATGAATAATTCATATTAATTTAATTTTTTAGTTTGGTGGTTATTGATTTCATACATTTATTAGTATTGATTTTAAAGTTTTTAATGTTAGACAATGATTACTTTCATAGGTTAGCTTTATTTTAATTTTTGTATGTATCAAATTTTTGATCTAATTATTTTTGATTTATGACATAAAATTTTATTTTATGTTTCAATAAAACTTTTGGTCCGCGCAAGTCGCGGGCTAAACACCTAGTTACATGGAAAACAAAAAAAGCAGATTAAACAAAAACTACGAAACAACGACAAATAAGCAGCAACTCACAACAAAAGACTAAGAAAAATGGCTCGAGAGATTAAAGAAAATTAAACCGAACAATACCAAATGAGACCACAGCAATCACACGCCGAAACGCCTATCTAGGAGCATTTTGCCATAACTCTGAAAAACTAGAATTCTCATCTTAGTTGCCATGAGCATCGACCGGAGGCCAGCCCCTCAAACCTCATTCTATCGTTTTTTGTGATAACAGAACAAATCGTGCTTGTAAGTTGGGATTTTTACTCATTCTATCGTTTTTTTCTTACAAAACTCGTGAGTAACAGAATATGTCCATCAAAACTTGTTCATAATGTTTTGTCAATCAAAGTTTGTCCACTAAAACTTGTCAATCGAAGTTTGTCCACTAAACTTGTCAGTCAAAACATTAACAACTCAAATTGTGACCGATTTTATTCAAAATAGGTTAAAAATAGGTCAAAAATACATATTAAAACCACAAAAGGGTATTATAGTATAAATCTGCTGCCATTAACGACTTAATCATCTAAACCCCATCATCAAGGGTGATAAATTGTTTAGTCTTTAAATTGTATAGACTTTTGTCAACGTTTTGATCGATGTTTTCTTTTTGTCTATAATTTTACAATTTTTTTTTTTACTTAATAGAGTTACTATTACTCATTCTATCGATTTCTTATAAATTTTGTGGATCTACCACTTATAGAAAGTTAGGTATTTTTTGTACATTTCCATCAAAACTTGTTCATAATGTGTTTTGTCAATCAAAGTTTGTCCACTAAAACTTGTCCATCAAAACATAACAACTAAAATTTTGACCGATTCAAACGAAAGAATTAGCTTATTGAGGATAAAAAGGGCTGAAACTAAATCCACAATAGATTATAAATTCAAATTCTTTTTCTTTATATATATAAAAAAATACAAATTCATGCAAGGATAAAGTGATGTCTTCGTTGACATAGTATTTGTTGGGAAAATCTTTCTATCAATACCATAAAAGGGTTTGATAGTACAACTCGATGTTTTATACATGTCTTCTCCGAGTAAACATTTAATATCTCCGAGTAAACATCTAACATGAATGAGTGGTGTAGCATCAATTGCACTTATAAAATCTTTATTTTCTGTCTGAAGGCAAATTTTCTTTACAAACTTCACACCAATTTCGTTTACTTGGCTCATCTCCATAGCCATGTGTGAGAAATTGTTTGTCATGCTTATACCTTGCCATATATTGTATGGTAAAGTAACACAATCGAAACATATTATGAAATCGCATTAGATGCAATTTAGGACAACTTTGTTGGCAAAACCTGAAAATATTTATGTTCATGGCCTGGGTAATCATAGGGTTCTGAAATAACATCCTTTTGTGCTACACTCATAGATGAAACCAGAACCTTCACATTAACAAGCTTAACATTTTGAAGTAACTTTTGCCATCGTTTCGATTGATGACCTTGAGTGTAAGTGGATGTGCTGGGGATTCAGAGGAAGTCAGTTTCCTAAGCGCATGTATCATGGAGAATGAAGTCACATTCCTTACCGCAATGGTAAACCAATTTGCCTGAACATTGTTATTTGAATGAATTTCTTAATACTAGTTACACAATCCACATAGTGAACAAATTAGTTCATTGTATCAATATTTCCAAATCACGTCCAAAAACTTTTCTGTGTGCTAAGGATGCTAGACATCGACCAAAACGTACGTATGTAACCACTTTATGTGAACACTGGCTTTATTTTACTTATGAAAGGAAAAGGGAGATACGAAAAAAGAATATACAAATGAATAGATTCCGAGTAAAACAAGTTTTAATGTATATGTAGATCATATCTTATACCTACATGTATATGCTCAAGAATTGATCTAAGTTTTTAAAAACCTTGTTTATTACTCACATCTCAAGCCAAAAAAAACTGAACACCTGAAAAAATCATCGTTCCGATTGGTTTATCCTGTTTTGGGAGCAGAGGACACCTTTGGCGTTTTTGGTCCTCCCTACAAAAACACAAAACCGGTTCTTATCTCTACACATCATTTTTTTCACTTAAACATGTTTTTTTCCAAGAGATTGTCGTCACTTACACTTCCCTTTTGGCCAAGTAACCTCCGGCCAGAAGGAGCTCTAGCTAATGATGAGATGGCCACTGCTGCTACAGTCGCCACACGAATCCTTTTATGCACGTCTACATACTCATCTGTTTCATCCACAATCTCCTCCTGCAAAAGCTCTTCAAACACATCTTCCAATGTGATGATACCAATCACTTCTCCATCCTCAATCTCCTCTGACGTATCTGAGAACCCGTTCCTACCGGTCTCGTTGTTTGGTAACGAAGATTGCCGACTAATCTTGTCGATATCGACAATGACATCTTCTTGCTTTCCTTCCCGCTTTAGCAAGAGAGGTGCCTTCAACTCAGAGTCATTACTTGGGGCATTGCTTTCGAAAGTGTTTTCTTCAAGCAAAGTCGAAAGAGGTCCCTTGCTTTTCCCCTTAACGTTCACAACTGCAGCCATGTGACTGCTCCCTTTTTGAAACTCATTCAGTATATCATACAAAGGCATATCACCCGGAACCCTGTTTAGGCATTTACAACAATAAGAACTTTGCGTTCTAAACAGAGATGCGCAGGGAAAACGAGCAGCCATAATAACAATGGAAATACCTTGGCATGCGGCGTATACCAACTGCGCTGACAAGGGTATCTGTTTCAGGACGAACTGTAAGGAGACTCTTCACCTAACAAACAAAAGAGTTTTCTTGATTAGAGTTTGCAAAAACATGATAAGCCACCGTTGGAAAAAAAATGCAAACTTGAAAAAGGGTCAACAACACCTACCAAGAGAAGTCCGATAACATTTTTGGGATTCTCGTAGTAGACAGGAACGCGGCTGTGGCCTCGTGTTTGAATCTTATCCATAGCTTCCCTGGGAGATATAACCACAAGCCAATCAGTTTAGGATACAGAGTCAAATAAGTTGTATGGAGATAGTTTCAGAATCAAGAATCCAAATAACCATATACATGACCGGTGAAACAATATATGAACAATGAGATAACAGGATATAATACTATAACATTCAGAGAACCAAACTCACCAGTCCAACTTTGAGTTTACATCCAAGGAAAAGATCGATTCGATCGGTGTCATGGCTTCTCGAGCAGTCTTCTCAGTCAAATCAAGTGCTCCACTTATGATTGTGGTCTCATCATGCGTAAGCTCACCTCCTTTACCAGCCGCTTCGCCGTGAATGGACACAAGAGCTTTTAACTGAGCTCGCCTAAACAAAGGGTCACCGTGTCCCAACACGCAATCCAACATCTTTGCAACGGGAAAAGATATCGGGTACGAGAGAGTCATCAAGATGCGGACAAGCCAGACCAAATTCGCTCCCACTGCTAATCCATACCTAGAGCATATAGCTTGAGGAATAACCTGAAAAAACAAAGTTCAAATCAGTGAAAAGCCTTCAAAAAAACCTAAACTTTGTAGGTAGAGAAGAACAAAGAAAACGTACCTCTCCAACAAAGAGAACGAAAGTAACCGAGAGGATGATTGCAACATACTCGTTGAATATCTTATCCAAGTAAATAGGAAGTCCCTGCAAATTTCAAAACAAGTGAGACCTTGTTCATCATCATCATCAATAGCATAAACAAGAGAGACTTTGAATTCGAGATTTACCTCCATTGCAAGAGCATTGAAGAGGAGCAATGTGACTAAAAGCTGATGCTGTTTCTGGACAACCGGAAAAATCGCAGCTGAAATCAATCATTCGAAGGCAAAATTAAACAGTAAATTCCGAGAATTCAAGCAAAAATCAGGATTTTTAATAATTAAGCAATTCAAGATAAGTAATCGAGGATGAAGAAGAAGAAGAAGAGTCACCGGCTTGTTTCTTCTCCCTTGGAGAGCCACTGCGTTGGAGGATTTCGAGATCGACGATACCGAGAGACATGAGACCTAAAGTGAGACCGGACATGATTCCGGCGAAGAGGACGAGGAAACAAGAGACTCCGGCGTAGATGCTCCACCATAACGATCCGAAAGGGATCGTCTCGTTTCCTAAGCCGTTAGATTTTCCGACGGAGGATAACATCCTCGCCGATAAGAGCGCGTTAACCCAATGCATCTTCTCGTCTCTCTCGGCAACTTCCTACGCTTTTGTTTTTTTGTTTGATTTGAACAAAAAAAGAAAGATATTTTCTCCTTCTTTTTATCTCGTCGTCGACCTTTACAGGTTCGGTTCAGTACAATTTTGATTTCCTAAGATAAACAGGAAAATTTTTGTTTTTGTTTTTGTTATTTAGCCCCTAATAGTTTTTACAATTTTAAATCCACCCCTTTACTTATCGATTAAATTCCTAGAATTTTGCTTATCTTTGAAGATATGCCTGCGACTTTTATTTGTTTTCGACCTACTCTTTTTCAATATTAATTTTACTATAAATTAGTAACAAGATATATACGTAATATGGTACGAACAAAAAAAACGTAATATGGTTTTTGATGAAAATCAATAGTTTATTTTTTAACGTGATAACAAATGACAGCTTTATATATATATAATTTTTCGAAATTATTGTCAAAAAGTGTAATTACTATATATATATATTTTGAATAGAATTATAAAATGTTAAATTTTATTCAAAAAAAAAGACTTTTTACAACACTTTAGTCTTTAAACAATGTTTGAAAAGCTTTTAAAACTGATTAACACTTTAAAAGGGTGGTGGATTCCTTCTTGTAGCAAAGCAGATGCAAAGTCCATCTTCAAATCGCCTTACACCATTTGTTTTCAGTGTGCTTAGTCTGTTCCTTATTATGATGTCAATCCTCTTTGCTAGAAGCTCCTTCGGCGTTCTCTTTTCTCCATGTCTGCGGCGATTTCTTTCGCACCAAATGGTATGAACAGTGGCTTGAAAGATATACCGCAGAATGAAAGAAATGACTGCATTATGCGGAGGCTGTGTAATGCAAGCTATCAGCTCCGACCATGTTGATGTGAAATCAGTTCCCATAAGGTCTCCAACCAACTCTTTCCAGATAGCTTTTGTGTAAGGACAAGCAAAGAAGAGATATTCTCTGCTTTCTAAGGTTTCATCACAGAACTAGCAGACATTCCACCATTGCGTAAGAGTTCCTGTTGTGAGTCTGTTTTCTGCCGCCAGCGATACTATAAAAGAAAATTTGGAAATTGATCTCGAGAACTAAATGCCGGGGTAAGTTGGCATTAGACTATATTTTTCATTAAATAGTAGTAAGATAATTGAGAAAAAATGAAAAAAGAAAAATAATGTTAATGTTTCGAGGTTTTTGTTATCTAGGAAACCAAGTCTCTTGTGTAAAAAACAGTATGTTATAGCCCAAAAAAACACTATGAATAATCTTTTCTGAGGATTCTCCGATATTCAAGACAATAAACAAGAGAGAATAAGTTTAGTCAAGTGGAATTAAGTTCAAAAGAAGATGGATCTGCAAAATATTTGTCATACGTTAGAACATTTTTATTGGAGGTATCTTAATAGCTATCTCAACTTTAAAAGCTATTAAAATAAAGAAAAAAAAATTAGAAAAAAAAATGAGAACTAGTTTTCAACTGAGAACTTTCAAACTTCTTGAAAACTCCTCTTATTAGACACATGTGAATCTTTAAATGGTTCTTTTTTTTATATAAATCATATATCCAACACTTTAAAATACAAGTAAATAGTTTAAATGTTATTATTTTTTATTTTTATAATTTTATAAATCGTAAAGTTAAATTATCTATCTATCAATATCTATTATGCATAAGATTAAATTTTATATTAAAATAATTTTAATTAATATTAGTTAAAGTTATATAATATAAATTAGTAATATTTTAATTAATATAATTAAATAATATTAATAATGCAATAAATTATAAATAATATAATTAAAAAGTTACATTATAATGAAAAAATCTAATTTAAAATAATATTGAACATAGTTTTTAATAAATTACAATTAAATAGAAAATTATATAAAATGATATACTTTAATTAACTTCATAAATAAAAACGTAAAAATATAATTTTAATATAGAAAACAAACATAGAATAATTTAACAAACAATTAAAATTCAAAATACATAATTAATATCATAAATAAAGATAAAAAACAACAAATGAAATTAACAAAAGCTTGGTTTTTTTGTAAAATAAACTTAACATTATAGAGTAATGACAAATCAATCCAATATAGATATTTTGACAAGACAATGACAAATTAATTATAATGCTATAAACCCTTATAAGTATGATTATAAATCATTATAATTAATCTTATAACCTTATAAGTAATCTTATAAATATTTATAAGAAATCTTATAAATCCTTATTTGTAATGTATTGTAGTATTAATATTTTTGTTAACATTATTAATATTTATGATTGTAATACTTTTTATATTATAGATAATATAAATAAATATACTAAATTACCATAATTAGATATATTGAAGATGTAATTGAATATGTTTTATAAAAAATAAAAGTTTTTTTTTTAATTTAAGATAAGATTTAACCTAAGTTTTTAATATTAACTACACTAAAATATAATTTTTTACAAAATTAATAATATTATATAGATGAGATATTTTAGTAGATATCTAACCAAGGAAGGTAAAATTTGTGATGGGTTTTTCAAAAAAATTTGTTCTCAAAATATTAATATTACATTTTTGAGATATTTTTAGAGTATCTCACCAATGGAGATGCTTTTAGGCAATTTGAATTTTAAAAAGAGAAGATAATAGTTTTAAAAGTAACGACTGTAAAATGGCCGGAAAGAGAGTGAGACTAGATCCCGAGAACTAAAAGAAGGCTAAGTATTTTTTAGAGTGTATACGTGAGGAGAAAAATATATGAAATAAGCTTAAAAATTTATATGAATTCTCTCATCCTCTTTCTTTGTGTAGAGGATGGGATATATATAGCGAATACATGACTCGAGTAGTATATCAGGTCGTATATATCAATATGTTGCGTGTGTGGAGAGAATGAAATATATATAGAAAATACATGACCCGAGTATAATATATAGGTCGGGTCATACTGCGTTGGATTTTGATCCTCTAAGAAGACGATCGTACGAGTACTCTAGTGCCTTGCTTGTCGTGTCTGACCAGCTATCAAACAATTCTATTCGGTAATGCAATGTACACATGTTTCTCGACGGTTTTAGAGCTGCATGGTCTGGACATCCCACATATTGCTCTTCTCTATACCCTTTGACTAGTCCTTTTCATTTTGTCACATTTCTGAATAACAGATGGTTTTTATTTTGGCCTTGACATGAGTTTTTTTCAAGGGTTTGAATATAGAAAAATGGAAAGGATATTTCCGGGTACTCGTTTGAGGATCTCCAAGTTTAACTCACCTTTTTAGGTATTTCCATTCAATTATTCTGATTTACTTTTTTAGGCATGTCTTTCTGGTAACAGATTTTGGTTGAAGTTGTCGAGGATCCAGCCTGTTCATGTTGAGTCATTCATCTTTCTATTATCTTGCTCTCTAGATGACATGGCATAAGTTGGCAGACTCACGAAAATGTGATTCTTGTTGGCACAAGTTGTAGTTCGAGTCGATAGTTTTGGGAAAAGATGACCGTATGTAACTTGCCATATCTGCCTTATATATATCAAAAAAGGTAATTGTCTTAGGGCACCAAATTTTTTTCTAATTTTAAGAGCCATATTTTTTTTATAACTTTAACCAAAAATATAAGATACATGATTTTGTTTGTTATGTATAGTAAACAAATATTATGTAGTTATATATATATATATATATATATATTTGAGAGACAACTAGAACAAGGGTGTTATGATATTTAAAATTAGATTTTGTTTTAAAAAACTATAATAATATGAACAATAAATCAACTATAAATACAAATTCAAATTTAAATAAAATAAAATAATAATACATATGTTATAATTTGCCTTAGGCCTCTTTAAAGCTAGGCACGACACTGCATATCATATCCTATATTTCAATACCCAGCCTTGTAACCACAGTTTCTTTTTAATTGTGGTTTTCATGTACTGTACATTTCTCTGTACTTTAGGGTCTGTTTTTTTTTTGGGTAAAAATAGGCTTTGTTTGGTACTATTATCAACATTTCTAAATGTATAATATCATTTTTGACTCATTTTAGAGTAATACCAAAATGAAGTTGGGTTTTACTCTAACTCCACTAGAGTAAAAAAAAAAAAACAGAATAGAGTTGAAGAGAATTTTGCTTTAAACTCTATTTTAGAGTGAAATTTAGAGTGATATTAGAGATGTCTATGGGTTATCAATTTTTTTGGAATATTAATCTTTTATTTCACATATTATACGGATTCAAAGTAATTTAACTTAAATATTTATGTGAAAGAGTTAATTTGCTATATATACCCAAAAGGCAAGACCAGTCAAAATTTGCTAAAAGAGAAAAGCAGTGAATTAGGGAAAATATTCAAATTCGAAATGGTGGGAAAACACCTTTGGTTCGAGTTTCCCTAAGTTGTGCCCCTATTTTTGATTTAAACTAAATAACACTATAGAAGATAATATTTGTCGTTTTAGGTTCTTGTCGAAGGTATAGGTCTGCTCGTAGGCTTCTGCACAACACAAAATATTACTGCTCCTGAAGCTACATTTAATGCTGTATTTGGAAGATTTTGTTGATGTATATGACATGAACATGTATGCATGTATATACATGTTATTAGGGTTTTTTATCCTCTATATAAAGAGGTATCGTCCACTCTTCTGAAATTATCAGCCTCCAAGAAAAAAGCCAGATAAAAGCCAAAAGTAAAAATTGTCTTCTAGTTTGAGTAAGTCGAGAAAGATACAACCATTTTTCTTTGGTCTTCAATATATTCCTTTTGTAGCTGACTTAATTCGTCTCTCTGTGCAATACACAATTAATGCTGAATCTTTGCTTATATCAAAATAAAACAGAGTAGCAAACAAATATATATATATATATATATATATATGATGGATGTAATGTTGTATATTAACTGTTTTGATTGTGATTTGTAGATGGTTGGAAGACTTATTATGCTAGTTCGGGGAGTGTGGGAGAAAACGGAAGCTGGGTCATGGAGCTTTAAGGTTGATAACCAGGGAAAAATTAATCTACAGTGTCATGGTTCATGAAAATGGGAGCTTCGATGGCTTGCTGAACAATGTTAGGGCTCGATACCAGATGGATGGGGA